GGAGAACCTGGTAGACAGCGGGCCACAATGATGACATTTCCAAACCCTGCGGCACAGGGAGAAAAGGAAGTGCATGAGCAGGGGGCTTGCAGACAGAAACTGCACCCCCATTCATATCTGTGCTCAGTGTGGCTCTTTGCTCTGTAAACATCTTAAGTGCCAGTCATGTGTCTCTGAGCAGCCACCAAATGCAGCCTACTTTTTCAGTAGGAACACAAAACAATACAGGCTGCCAAGAGTAGCATTTCTGTTCTGCAGACCCCAAAATGGCACCGGGCTCCCATTTTGAAAGGGCTCTATCACATCCACGGCTATGAGAAGAGGAAGCAGAACTTCGGGTTCTAAGCATTCGACTGCAGGAAGCCACTCAGACACCAAACTTAAAGGAGATAAAGAGTGGGGTCCCCCCTGAAAGACAGGGCTGTCAGCTTGGATGATTGGCACACTATTACCAAAGAGCAACTGTGGATAGAGCAATCTTGCTAGAGAAAGAAAAATGAAGATTATGGCACTCTCTAGAGGGATTTTATGCTTGGCCTCTGCCATCATCATTCCTCTTTCCAGTGCCTCACGTCATACTTGCCTTTTGTCATAATGGATATTGGTTAAGACAAAGGGTAGAGGAACCAGTTCAGTGCTGACCACTTTTCACACCGAGAAAGAAACCCTAAACCAGCAGGGGAAAGGCAGCTGTGCTACATATCACAGGGATGTGAGTCACTGAAATGGTGACTTCCTGAAATTTTTCTCCTTCTTCCATTTGCTTCAGAAGTGAGCCGTGGACATGGTCACAGGCCGGGGGGACGATCCAGGCCACACGTCAGTGCAGGACCAGCTGGAACAGCAACCACATCGCACGTCATTGCCCTCGCTGTCATTCTCTCCCTCCCCCATCTCCCATTTCTGGACAGCAACTTCTCCTGCTGCAGGACTCTGAGGTCCCAACCCCTGCCCCACCGCTGACCACAGACACAGGACAAGCACTCATGGGATGAAACCAGGAAAGCATTTCAAGCCTCTGCAGAAAACCCCTAAGCAAGTACCAAATGGTATTATTCTTTTCCTGCCAAGCTCTCCCAGCTCGAGGCAAGAATATAAGGAATTATTAACTTTACTTCCCAGGCGAGGAGGGAGAGATGTAATTAGAGCCCTGAGGTTTCCCCACAAGGCATTAGCGAGTAAGTCTGCCAGCACTTTGATGAGATAAAACATGGAACTTTCTATTCTGTGCCAATTGCTTCTTTGTCTGGAACACAAAGTCATCTTCATAAGTGAAACTAGAAAGAAAGAGAGAACAGTAACAAAACCAAGGGAGAGCCCTCCAGACTCTCGTGGCTCCGGCAGCCTGCTTCCCCTGAGACAGAGCACAGCCCCACACCTGCTGCTGACACTGAAGCCGAAATGAGTCCACTCGGAGACCGTGAAGGCTGAGAATAGAGAAAAATCACAATTCTTGAAACATTTACTAGTAACCCTAGATAAACCAAGTGAGAAAGGAAATCTTACTCAAATCCTATTGCGACAAATCTCATTACAATAAACTCTCCACCTCAACATCAACCAAGCTTCCCTAATGACTTGGCCGTTGGTTTACGAGAATTTATGGATCACCTACTGTGTGCCAGTCCATGCGCTGGGCCCTGCAGTGATCCATTTCACACAACAGCCAACTTCACATCCCATTTCGAGACAGCCACACTGTGGGACGGTGGCTTTTACACCTCTCCACGTTCTCTCAAATGCCCTTCCAGATGCATCCTCTTCACCCTCCGAGGCTCATTCCAGTTACCACCTCCTCCACAGGGCTTTGATCCTCACCCACCGCACTTCCAGCAGAAGTAGTTTCTCCATGGGGCGCCTGGGTGGCTCATTCAGTTAAACGTCTGCCTTCAGCTCAGGTCATGGTCCTGGGGTCCTGGGATGGAGTCCTACTTCTGACTCTTCTGCTCAGTGGGGAGTTTCCTTCTCCCTCTCCCTCTGTCCCTACCCCTGCTCATGCACTCTCTCTCTCTCACTCACTCTCTTAAATAAACAATAAATCTTAATAAATCAATAAAATCTTTAAAAAAAAAAAGAAGAAATAGTAGTTTCCCCTCTTTTGGAACTTCCTTAGTTTATATTCTAAGGGACATGTTATGTGTAACTTTACTATTGTGTACGGTGCTACCTCCCCTCCCTGCCAGAAACTTCCAGAGATGAAAATCCTAAGGACAGAGCCCAGTGTGTCTTTTAAAATGGCTTCACTGACTGAGCCACCCCGGACAGAGTGCCAGGGTGGCTCAGTCAGTGAAGCGTCCGACTCTTGGTTTCAGCTCAGGTCATGATCTCAGGGTCGTGAGATAGAGCCTCACGTCAGGCTCTGCGCTCCGTGTGCTTGAGGTTCTCCCTCTCTGCCTCCCTCTGCCCCTCTTATCACTCACGCTAAATAAATAAATGCATAAATAAATAAATGCATAAATAAATAAATAAATCTTTTAAAAAACAAATAAATAAAATGGACTGTGTGCCTTGTATCCCCCCAGCACGCCAAGGGCCATTCTCTGGACAGCTGCAGGAGTGTCCTTTGGGAGCTTATGGCAAACGGAGAGTCTCCACCCCAGCCCAGACCTACTTGGTCAGGATGTGCATTTACCACATTACACAGGTGATTCATATATACACTGAAGTTTGAGAAGCACTGTTCTATACAATAGATGCTCAATGGGTATCTTTTAAATAATGAGCCAAGTTCTACACAAATATCTTCCCCTCAAGTTCTACACAAATATCTTCCCCTCACGCACCCCATCCCAGGGACTGCAAATGAGCTAAGTAACCCCAGCCTGAGGTGACACGAGTGCTTGGTCCTTGCAAGCCACCCGTGGCCCCTACACATTCAGCAGCAAGTAACTTTCTTGTTCATCACAAAACGCTGCCTGCCTGCCTCCCTACTATGTGCCAGGCCCTCTGCACATTTCATAAGAACATTGACCTCTCAACACACTGAACCGGGTTTGCATTTGCAGGTTTGGGAGTTTAAATAAAGGAGGAAAGTATGTGACTCTGTGTGTTAAGTACCTCCCAGGTGCCTGTCCCCTCCACAGACTCCTGGTGGATCAGGAGGGACACAGCCCCGGACCAGTCCCCCGTCCACCCGCCCCCAGAATTCAGCTGGCCTGGTCCTCCAAGGAGTAAAGCCCTGCGTCAGTGTTTTCTCACATGCCAGCACGCCTCCCGACCCCTGGAAGGCTTCTGAAACACACTGCAGGGCCTGTCCCCAAGCTTCTCACTCAGAAGACATTCTCATGCCTGACATAGAAACAAGAAAAAGAAATTCAGACAGAAATACTAAATAAAGGTTTCTATTCCTTTGGCTTCCCTGACAAGGAGTATCTTATCCAACCTTGTTCTCTTGTGTGTTTCAGAGATAATCTGGAGAAAAGACTAAAGAAGTGAGGCTTTTGTTTAATGAAGCCCACTGAGAAAACCAAGTCCAGAAAGTTCCCCAGGCCTTGGTCAGAAAAAGAGGGTCTGGTTTTCCACCCGTGTCTTCAGCTTTGCGTGTTAGAGCGAGAGTTGTGTGCTAAGGGCCCATGCCAGAGAAAATTAATTTGGCCAGCAGTGGGGAGCCTCAAGCCTAGGTTCGGTTGTCCTTCATGGACAAAAGTCAGCGGGTGCGCCCTGCTGCAGGCATTGCTCATTTGCTCTCTGCCTACAGCTGTGCCCGTTCATGCGGCACCCCTTGCCTCAGACTCACCTCCTCTCTCACACGCCTCAGCCTCCACCCAGTGCCATCATGCATCAAGATGGCCTGTAGAAAGAGTGGAAGAGTTGAGAGTTCCACCTCTGTTCCCAAATCCCTCTTCTTCCTCCCGCCCGGTCATGCTCAGTGGTCAATGTAATCACAACACTATACAGCACCAGCTCCGGGTGTTTCTAGAATAGGATTTGCAACCTCCTTTTAGAAATCACTCACCCACTCCTGTAGTGCCCCAGTGCCAACAGTCTGTGATGTATTCATTGGGAATAAGAAATCACGGGTCAGTAAGGTTGAAGACCCAAGCCTCAAGGCTAACCAGCTTCCAGAAGAATCCTTAAGTCTGCATTCTATTTCCAGACCCATCCTGAGTGTGCTAAACCTGGTTATCACCAGGACTATCTATCAAGTTCATAAGTGTCTGGGGGAACCTGGAAGCTATTTTAAGCCCTCTCTCTTCCCCATATCCAGCAGAAATGGGTGTGAAATGTGACAATCAGCATCCAAAGTCCTGAAGACTCTTCCCAGGCCAACCATACCTGAAAGCCTTCCTTTGACCCAGTCTGCCCTGTGTCCACTCAGCTGCCATGGTGGTCCTTATCTGCTTCTGCTCCAACTCCTACTTTGGTGCCCCATTTTAACTGTTTTTTTTCTGGCATCTAACCAACTCCTCTATCTTCTGGTCTCATGTTGTTACTTCTCCTTTCTAGCTTGGACATTTGGGGCCATCTACATGGGAATTTGGTACATTTGACCCCTTTGGCACAGCCTGGCATTTCTCAAACTCATCCCATTTCCTATCTCTGGTCCTGGACAGTAAGAAATCAAAAAGCTCCATGAGAATTCATATTTATAGGCATCACAAGGTCAGATCCTGTGTCCATCTTATTTTCCTACTCCTGCCACACTGCCTAGCACATAGTAGGTATACAACAAATATTTTTCAATGAATGAATAAATTATAGATATATCACATGTTAGGCAGGAAGATGATGAGTTAATGTAGCTTTCATTGTGCAAATACTTGGAGTATTTCTGGGTAATCAACAAATGTATAACCCAAAGGATTAATGCTCATAAAATGCTTTGAAATCCACAAAATAACAGTGCTATAAAACAGTCAATTGTTACTGAGTGGAGGTGACCAGAGGAACAGAGCATACAATTCATTAGGGGTGTAGGAAATAAGTATGAATGAGGGTAAAAGAGAAATGGGACATTCCAGGGAAAAGAGGAAATAATCAGTAAGCAAAATAAAACCCACCTTTATCATAATCATCATCTTCAACTGCTTTTCCTTGAAGTTTCTGAAGCTTTAATCTTAGGGATTTTACCTATGTTGGTTTGAAGGGGAAGAAAATGAAAGCCAAATTAGGATAGCATTCAAGCAAACTTATTTTTTTAAAGCTAAAAACATTTAGAAACGATTTTGAAACTGAAGTTCTTTATTCTCCTTTAAAAAAAGAACCACAAATGTACATTTTTCCAATGCCAGATGCATTAGTTTCTCAAAAAAAAGTTATATAAAGAGAAAGTGTAATTCGAGCATAAAATCCACAAAAAGAGCTAGAAAGTTATTTTAAACAAAAACATCACATGGTACCCTTATCCGCATGAAAAAAAATGCATAATAAAAAGGAATGCAAACTTCCTGACCTGACCAAATGGTCTCCGTTCTCAAAATCACATTAAAATTATGAAGATAAACACACTAAGATTGGAAAAGAAGCCAAGAGAAGAAGAGCATGAGCTTAAATGGGGCAGGCTATCCTGCCAGCCTGGTGAGATTGACAAGGACTTCACCATACCCTTCTAGAAAAGGGCATCACCTATTTAACCCACATATAGACATAATGATCCCATTGTTTGTCAGAGAGTTACCAATACTCATTTTTAATTATTTTTCTTCTCGACAGGAGGCCCAAGATTTTCTGAAGATAGATTCTTGGCCTATTAGTGAATGGATGTGGGCTCGCTCCCTGAAACACACCTTCCTCCCATCCTTTGCCTGGCTTACACCTCCATGTCCTTCAACACCCAGCTCAGGTGTCACCTCCTCCAGTCTGTGTTAAATGTCCTTCCTCTATACAGCCATTGTGACCTGTTTTTATTCGTATGACCCATTTGTTCTTATTCATATGACCCATTTAACAAATATTTACTGAGTGTCTCCTCGGTGCCAGGCACTGTTTGAGGTGTTGAGGATACAGCACAAAATTCTTAGCCATCTCTCAATGTACACTCTTGAGTAGGAAGACAAAAATTGACATAATAAGTATGTTTTATGGAGCCTTAGAAAGTGATTGGGGTTAAGAAAGAAGAAAAACCATAAAACCCAGTAAGGGGCATCAGGAATGCTGGAAGAGGGTGGGGCTGCAGATTTAAATAAGATCTCACTGACATTTGAGCAAAGATTTGAACGTGGTAAGAGGGGGAACCCTGGGGCTCCTGGAGAAAACATTTCAACAAGAGAAGAGTCAGCACAAAGGCTCTGGGCAGAGGTGTTGCTGGTGTTGCCAAGTAAAGCAGCAGGCCACTGGGTCTGGGGTGGATTCATTAAAGGGGGATTGTAGATGATGAGGTCAGAGAGATAATAAGGAATGCATCATGAAGACACACGAAGATGACTAAAAAAAGTGCTGATGTTACTCTGAGGGTGATGGGGGCAGTCAGAGGGTTTTGAGCACAAGAGTCCATGCTCTGACTGGGGTCTGACTGCTGTGGGTCAGGGCAGAAGTCAGATGGCGGGGGTGGGGGGCATGGAGACCGCCCAGGATGGAAGGGACAGTAGCCTGAACGATTGTGGGCACAGTGAAGATGGTGAGAAGGTGATCTGATCCTGGGCACATTCTGAAAACGGCGTTGAAGACAGGACCGACAGGATTTGTTCATAGATCACATGGGGGGTAAGAAAGTCAGCATGATGCTGGGATTTGGGTTTGAGCTGCTAGAAGAATGGAATTGCAAGAAATTATCATAGTACTTGGGACACCATGTTACTGCTGTTGTTCTGTTTCGTTTTGTCTGTGTGCTCCATTCACACTTGAGCATCTTGAGGGCAAGAACTATATTCTATTCATTCTATTCTATTCAGAAAATGGCAGGGTTCACCCTTACTAGGCTCTCCACTGCTCTGGGCACACAGAAGGATGACATTTCTCTCACCACCTTGCTGTGGGTCATGGGGTGTGGGTGCAAGCATTAGAGGTCACTTCTGCAGTGAGTATTTAATTGCTCTTGTAGGATCTCTTATGGTTTTCTTCCTTGTCCCCTTGACTGAGGGGCCGTATGTTCAGGTGGCATAGGCAGGGTTCCTGAGTGACCCTGTGGAGCAGATCCCCCAACCACCTCCGTGGAACGCAAAGCATTCAGCAAGAAACACAACTTTGTCCTATGAAGGCTCTGATATCGTGTCACTGTCTATTACCTCTTCTGATACAATCTCCAAAGCCGGGCACAGGGAGTCCATAAATACTTTCTGAATGAATGAATGTTTACATTAAACCCTTTATCCTTGAGTTGCTCCATATTACAAGTGCAAACTGCACCAGTAACCTAGTTGTACATATTAGGGATAGAAGATCTGTATGGGTAGTTCAACTGTCATATAAAGCATACTATTACCATCACCATACCCAAGACATTGTATTATTAAACAGTTACTAGAGTCGAAGCAGAAGAACTACAGGAAAGAAGGTCATAGAACTTCATGCAGAGCCAACATCCACCTCACCTCCTCCCGCTCATCCAGTGATCCCTCTAGGTCGCTGAATTGATGCCCCAGGAGATGTTTGAACGTCTATCTTTGCTGGAAGCAGAGCCACTGAGGGTCATGTCTTATCCAGTGTGAGGCAGGCAATTTCCCTCCTTCTCCTGCAGCTTCCACAAGCTGAGGCAGGGCTAACTTGCAAGATTCTCCCCGCTTCCCTCCTCTGCACACCCAGTTAGCATTTCCTTCCATCACTATTGTCTCAGCCCCTTGCAATCCCTGGCAATGTCCCTGGATGGCTATTTCTAAACAGCATAAAATACCCATTCTGTCGATTCTCATTCGTGGTACTTGTATTCTATAAAGTCTCCGGAAATGCTCAGTTAGCAAACACTAAGCCATTGCTTCCAGGGGAAACAAGCATTTGGCTTCTGAGAGCCTCTGATCACAACGTTTTTGCCAACTGATCAATACGTAACCTTGTTTTATGTGTGCTTCAGTTGAAAGATGCCTTATTTAATATATATTGCTGGCTCGTTAACAGAACTCACGGCCACCGGCACCACAGCTCGTGCCTGCACCAAGCTTATCCAACACACGTTTCCACCATAAGGCACATGGCAACCTTCTCACACTTGGGAGCATGAGGCAGCATGGCGGCCCTATGCCGGCAGACCATTTGAAACAGTGAAATCCCCAACAAAAAGCACTAAATAGACCACAAAAAAGGACACTTGTTTACAGGATGGCAGCTGCAACGAGAAGGGAGCATTGCCTTGTTCGATCTCAGCTGGGAAAGTGCACATCAGGCAACCCAACCTTTTAGCCACTGCACACATCCACAAATGACGAGGAAAGCGCTGTGAGCATTGACTCTGGAGCTACCAATAAACTGTAGAAAGTAAGCAACAAATACTGAGGATCGGCTATATTTTAAAAGGAACGAAAACCCAAATTCCTGAGATTTGTTTTTTTTACTTAAAGAGAAGGGAGAAGGGGTTAGGAATTGGAATGTAATATCTAAAAGGCTCCAGAACACTAGAATCCCAGTCTTTCAAAGGACATCCGTCCCCAATCCTGAGTGCCTCTCCAGGAGCCCGAATGAGCAATCTCAAGCCTCTGCACAAACGTGATAGAAAAAGAAGCAAAAGGCCCCCCCTCACGCCAGACACCTCCCCAGCTGTCAGGAGCCTCTTCTTCCTATTGAAACAAAATCTGCCTTCCTATAAATCTTATGCCCCAGACAGAGTTCTTTCCATCACTCCTACCACACCAACGAAAGCTAATTCCTCTCCCACAAACAGACATTCAAATCATTGAAAACAGCATCATGTTTTCTGCTTTTTAGGTGTTAGTTCACCATAAACAAAGGTACTTAAACTACAGATAAATTGTGTCCAGATCCTATCACTTGAGACACTTTAATTTGAATTATGGGGAGAAGGGTGAATTTGGTGTTTTTGACCCAAATTCTCTTATTCTGAGCTATTTCTCTAATGATAATAATGACCAATATTCTGGGCACTTGCTCGGTGCCAGACCCTGCCTGAAGCTCCCAGCAAGTGTGAGCACATTTCATCCTCATGAGAATCTAATGAGGTGGGTACCATGGTTTATCTCCACCTTCTAACAAGAGCATCTTGAGGCACAGAACAGTTAAGCAAATTACCTAAGGCCCCACAGCTGGGAGAGGAAAATGCCAGGCTAGCATCCAGGCAGGCCCATGAACCTGACACGCTGCAGGGCACCGTGGGATCACAGGCACACACACCCCCCCCCACCAGGTGCCCACGGGAAGCAGGGCTGTCCTCCTCCAGAATCCCCAGGGTGAACTGGCAGCCACCTTGTCCTTCTTCCACAAGGAACACCTCTCTTGTGGGCTATGACCAATAAATTCTTTTAAAAAGCTGCATCTGGGTAATAAAGGTTAAAGGAAGAGATGTATCTAGGGTTGGTTGTATTTTTTTAAAACTAAAAATCCTGAAACCCAAAAGGTAAGTCAGGGTGGCTTTCCACAGCCAGAGCCCCAGGAATGCCAACCTTCAGGCCCTGAAATGACCTGGTGGCTCGGGGAGGTGGCAAAGCGAGCCCGAGGCGTGGCTGGGCCCCATGAGCCGCAACTGCTCAGGGGTTCACAGACTCCAGTTTATTACATACAAGATTCTCGGGAGGATGTGAGTTACCTGCAGGTAGGAGGAGATAGAAGAAAGGAAACCCAGCGAGCGGAATCGTGTGGACTGCAGAAGGATCACTGCCAAGGTAGTTCCTGTTTGTTTGGCTATTTGGGAGGGAGAGCCACTGTTCATTGGAATGGCATTCTACTTTTGTTTCATTTGAGTCAAAACTTGAATTTTTTGAGATGGAGAAATACAGATATGTTGTCAAGACTTTTTTAAAAGAGATCTTAGAAATGAAACGTTGAATACAGATATTTACAGCTGGAAAAGTGTGATGACACAAAGCTCCACTTAGTGCCTGGGACCTTGTGATTCATAATAAGAAATGCGTATTTCGTCTTTGTTCATTTCTGACACAGAGCGCCTAAAACCCTAGAAATTTCCTGTGAAGAGGGCAAGAAAGGTGTCTTTTGTTATGTTAATAAGATGACTTTTGGAAGACACCTAA